TTGTCCTTCAAATTTCTCATTTTGTAAGATTTGCAGCGCTTATTTGAAAAACTCACTGATAACAGAGTAATCTGAAATAGTTTATAATTCTTTCTTATTATTTTACAAAAATTTTTACAAAATAGCAGAAAATAACGCTAAGAAAGTAATTAATTTGCATCAAATTAATTGTTATTAAAATTTTTTGATGAATAATTAGTATTAATTTTGAGTATTTTAACAAAATTGTGCAAATATTTCGATTTAATTTTTTGTTACTTTCGTTAACTATCAATGATAACAATTGTTACTGTCATCATTAAATTAACAGTTTACTTTGTAAATGTTAAATTGCTAGTGAAATCGAGCTGTTATTTGGTTTAATTCTGATAATAGTTCACTTTATTGGTAAATTATCTCAAGTTAAATTTAAAAAACAATAAGAATACGTGAAAAAATACGGAGTATAATTTATTTTGAAAATGAAAATTTAATTTATTATACCTTTTAATTAAATTTAAATCAGCATATTACATTCATTAGAATCATAATTAGAATCAATATATTACATTAATTAGAATTATAAAAATGCAATATTTTTATAGAAAATGCATTATATCTAACTAATTTCTCAAAAATTATGATGCTGAAATCACTTAAATAAAAGCTGTTTTAAATATAATTATGTAAATTTTCAAAAAAGATAAGTAATCAAGGGATATAAAGGTTGTGGCTAATTAGTAATTAGTCATAAAAATTGCTTAATCACTTATAAGTTAACTTTTCCAGTATTTAAAAATGCTGTTAAGCAATTTATATTACATTAATAAAGGTGTGTGACAACAAAAATGAATTTAAAATAAAATTTTAAAAATTAATTAGTGAGTTCATATTATTAAGTGATTATGAATGATAATATCAATTTATTAATTAATATTATCCACTATTATGAATGACGAATGATAATAATGATAACATCAATAGTAATAGTTTTATTTTTAGAATATCTGAAATGATATGAAAAGTCTTTATTGTTTGGTTGTTTTAACAATTTCAATATTTTATACGACAGTCGCTTTTCTACCACAAAATAGTACTGTCCTTGAAAAGGTTATAATTTTTCATTTTATTTAATTTACTTGTTAATAATATTAATATTTATCATTATTTAATAGTTAACGGTATTATTTATCATTAATGCTTACGGTATTTTTGTTTTTGTATTTTTGTCTTATTTGTTAATATTAATATTAATAAATAATTCTTTCAGTAATATTTATTTTATATTTATAGTAAACATTTGTTCTATTGATTCACTGCACATTTATAACATACATTTGCTACCATTCAAATGATAAAATAACTTTAATAACTTTGAATTTCATGAATTTTTTCAATTTCCAGTTTAGTTATTCATTTTCAGTTCCATGAAGATAGAAATCAGATTAATGAATATAAATCAGCAACAGTTACCAATATTGCACCACAATGGATAGGCTTGAAAACGGATAGCGTTGTGAGATACCTGGAAATCCTTTTCGTTCTTGACACTGATATGGTGTGATTATACTATCTTTATGTAATGATAGTAATCATTAAAATATATTTTGGTGATGAGAAAAGCAAAAAATACGCATAATTTAATATTGAATTTGTGAACTGTAAATACTGTCAAATTAGACCTATTTATTGTCCGCTACAAATATTTTTGAGCATATAAAAGCATCAAATGATAACAGTTAGATGATAAAACAGTACAAAAATTATGCTCAAATAAATGATCTGATCTAAATTTAAAATGATTCGTTTGAAGACTTCTTGAATTACAACGCTGAAAGCAATAATTTGTTTCAGAGTCGGTTTTATGGATTCAATTCAAAAATGATCCAGCAAACAGTTATTTTAATTATGCAGAACCTTTCTTTGGTAATTTTAGTTTCATATTTGGTACTAAGTTTTGCTTGCGTACAATTATCTATTTTGTACTATTTTTTCAAAGTGGGATTAAAAATGAATTAATCTTTCATTTCAGTATTTTCATCAGCTAAATATTCGCGGTATTCTAGCTGGCATTCATCAAATGACTGGTAGAAACATTACATTAAATCAACTAATGAATTATCGCAATACAAGACTTAAAGAGCTTCCAAATCATGATATTGCATTACTGATGAATTACGATTATCATGGCGGTGTTGCTTACGTAAATGGAATTTGTAGCCAAAATGCAGTTGGAATTATTGGGGTGAGAAATTTGAATATTCAGTAGTTTAGGCTGATATTCAGAAGAAAATTTAATTTTTCTAAAATAATTTAGACTAATATTTTAGAAGACAATTATTATCAATTCTGAAAAGATTTAAAATCATTATCAGTGATAATATTTGAGTAAACCACTTAGCATCTACTTGAATCTTGTCATTAATATCTTTACTAATAAAAGTTGACAACAATAATGATGATTATATTTATGAATTTGGTAGTAATAATAATAGTAATAATAATATTGATATTAATGCTAGGATCCATGCTTATTTGCTACATACTGAAATGAAATTCAGTCTTACTTTATTTTTTAGTAAAATGTATCCAATAAAAAGCACGCTGTTACTATTCTACGTTGTAAAAATTTGAATAAAATATTTTAGTTTCATTTAAGTTTTACTATCTATTATTATTATTATTATTAAATTTTTTAGTAAAAAATATGGGAAAATTAAAAAATTACTGCATAAATTTTTGCATACTAAACTGATATGCAAAATATTTAAAAATATTCAGACATTAGTAATATTTATTAATTCTGCCCTGTAATATCTGTATTTATTTATTATAAAAATTTCAAGAAAATGAAATTATTAATATAATTTGTAGTTCCTTCCACACGCTCCAATGGAATATACAGCAGTCATTTTCCATGAAATTGCGCACCTTCTTGGCTTAACACATTCTTCATACAGTAATTTTGATTGTGATTATAAGGATGATTATGGCACTTATCTTAAGATTGAGTGAGTTATTTATTCGAAGTTATTTTCATATTTTCTAGCTTTAATTTTTGCTTAATTTGAATACATTTAAATTCCATTTATCTGACATGTTTTGATAAATCTATATTTTTTAATAAATTTATTTATTACTGATAACTCAATATTATACTTTCAAAAATATTTTCCGTATTAACAATTTTTTCCATTTTTGTGTATAAAAATATAGTAAATAGAGTTGACATATTATTACTAACAAATTCATAAATAAGTTGACAACAATAATGTCTCCTAATTTTTATTCAAATTTACGTCTTCACATAATCACTGATTTACTAATAATATTACTGTGTTAAATACTTTCTGATTCAATAAGGTTCCTTACAAATTAATTTTCGTTTTAAAAATTAATAATTTATCAAGAAATATTTTAGTAAAACTTAAATTATATTAAAACATAATACTGTTGAAAGTTACTTTCATACGTTCACACAGTTGCATTCAAATAAATTCGAAAAAAATTTGCACAAATGTTTAAAAATTTTTCAAATTTATATGAAAAAACTGTTTAAAAAATAAGTTTATTTTTATAAAAAATAAATCAAAAATTGTATTATTATCCAATATCAAATTTGCATTTATACTATTTTATCCATTCAGCGGATTTGATGATAAATGTGCAGCGCAAATGCTAGCGGATAAGTTAGGTCAACATTTCTGTTTAAAAAATCTACCCCAGAAATCAGCGCCAAAAAATTATGCAATTTGTGGTAATAATTTTTTAGAATTTGGCGAAGAATGTGACTGTGGACCACAAAGGTTGAATTTAGTTTTTTATTTAATTAAAAAAATTAAAAATGTAAAAATTATTTTGAAAGATCAATTATTTGCCAGAAATCATAATACTTTAAAAATTATAATATTTCTTTTTATTGAAAAATTTTATTAAAAAAAAAATCCACTGAAACATTTTCAGATTTACATTTTCGAAAACTATTAACTGAGAAGTTTGAGATCATTTAATAATTAAAAACAATATTTATTAGGGAAATTTTTAAAATTTAATTTAATTTAAATTGATTAACTGATTTTCAATAAAAAATTGTATAATTAAAATAGTGATATTTCAGATATATAATAACATTTCAGATATTGTAATTCATATATATGTAATGCGAAAACTTGCATGCGAACGATTAGCGATTTCCAACTTCATTCTATTTTTTTTGGCGTGTTAGCTTTGATAATAATTGTTTTTGTGTGGGGTCATTTTGGAGCAGAAAAAAAAGGTCAACATCGAATATGTGATCAAAATACTACAAAATATATCAAAACTTGGTAATATTATTAGTATGCAAATTCATAACAACAAAATAGCCTAAATTAATTATTTAAATTTCTGTAATATATTTTAATACATTTACTTAAAAATAATTTAACTTTGACCAAATACAAACGCTAATATTAATAAATCATTTTTATACTTTTACAGAAAGAAAAAATTCTTAACATTTTAATATTAGTTAATAATCAGAATTTTTAAATGCAATTTTGTCACGAAAATATTTGCAATATTTTAATGAAATTAGCCACAATTTGTACAGTTTCAGTCAAAAACTAATTTGTTCCAGGAATACACCAACTTTCAAACCATTAATTTGTGATGACAGCAAGTTAGAAGAATCATCTTCAGAAGTTTGGATGACACCACAACGTACTTGTTCAGTTGGTGAACGAATAAAGTTATCACCAGAACAGGTTCATTGAAATTCAGCACATTGTTTAGTATTAGGTGCTCAGCAATAAACATTTGCATATCCATCTAATTAATGAAAGAATATGCAAATTTGATTGTACTTTGCATAAATTAAAGTGAATAGAAAATTTGTTACACAAATTTCTAATTACTTCTTTAGAAGTCGATGATTATTAATTACTGTATATATACAAATTTTTGTATCACTTGCAGTGGTTCGCATTGTAAGAATTATATTATAAATTAATATCACATGAAGATTAGAAGATTAATTTTTGTTTGCGCTTATTAAATCTAGCGCTGGATCGTTTTTCGGCATTCTCGCTGCATTCGCCCAATGCGAAATTACTTTGTTTACGAGATAGTTGAGAATGAGAACGTGGAAATCAGAGTCGACACGCGTATTAAAGCAAATATAAAGACAAGTACAGATCAAGTGGATAAGAAGCGACATGAAGTATTCCTGTTAAAGCAAACAAGCAACATCACTAGTCCAGACAGGTTGACAGAAGTCAAGACCGATAAAAAGTGAAAATATGGCCTACTTGCTAACAAGCTTGAGTCAGGGATGAAATTCAGAACAAAAATGATTCCGTATGTGATGACTTGGGATGGGATTGTAACAAACTTCCACAAACGCTATGCGAAGGAGATCAGTATATCTGTTCACGTAGAAGTATATATCCAATCCATATTGCTCACGAAAAAAAGTAGTTTTTTCTTGTTTGCTCCCAAGTTGATTAGTATATGAAATTATTTGATTACCGCGATGGATTGCACGAGGGTGTAGCAACGGAGATCAGCATGACAAAACTGAGCGCGAGACAGAGTACCACGAAACAATCCAGTTGCTAGTCAACGGTGCGCAAACAAATGTTAATCTCTAAAATCAAGCTCCTACATGCGTATATTACTTTTAATATTTTTACTTTCATCATTCATCAGAAATAAATGAACGAATGATAAAAACTGTTATAATAAAATATAGCTTGATGCAAATTTGAACTTGAATTTTATGGTTCAGTATTCCTCACGACCATTTAGACAGTGGCAGCTTTGAGTTTCTGCTAGATTCTAGAATATTTATTTTTTGATGTCAAAGAATCCAACATCTTATCAATAGGTCGTCACTTTTATGAATCATAAAAATTACACTAGCGTTTCAATATAATATATTAATTAAACTTGGTGCGTCATAATATGCAAATGATGACAAGAAATTAATACGATATTTTGTAAAAATCTCAGATGATATCACTGCAACAGTCAATAGTCGTAATTTAAAAAATTTAACCTAAATAACAACGCACATTATTGTAATTTGATAGTGATGAAAAGCTGTCAATAACTTTCTTCACTGTAATTCTTACAACTGATAAAACACTTGTGCTGATATTTTTTTCAGATTCTAATCACAACAAATCAGTTTGATTCATCATCACTACAAGATGTAGAATTAAAATTATTATGCTTATCAACGCCACCAGCACCCTTATCATTATCATCATTTTCTCACGATAATTACTTAAGTATTCGTTATATACTTTACTGTTTATAGTTAAATTTATTAAATGCTAAAATTACAATGCATTTAAAGTATTTGTTTAAAAGTACATGACATATTTTAGCTTCTGTAAACAACAATCAAACTTCTGCAAGTAAATCGTCCAATTCTCCATCAAGCGCAGATTCAGCTAATTACGATTCAATTTGTGATGAATCTAGCTTTATTCATAATTTATTATTATCGTTGAAGTCTTCTGATTCATTTCTTTATGAGCAAAATCAGCTGAAACAATCGCATCGGATTAATAATTCTCAAGTAAAAACATATACAAAGCGTCCATCTGTTCCACCGCCCGACCCTCCGATTCATTCTTAAATTTGAGATTTAAATTTGATTTTTAAATCCATTTTTTACAATTAAATGATTTGTAGCCTCTTAAGTTACTTTCTATTTCTTAATTTTGACTTTTACAAAAAATTACAAGTTTCTTCAGTGTTATTTACATTGAGATTGTTGTGTACAAATTCTTGAACAAATTCGCTTTGTACTTCAATATTTTGCAGTGTACCACAGAAATCTTTTTCTTCTGCTTTGAAAATTAGTTTCTTTCTTACAAAACAGTTTTTTTGCAAAAAATATTCTGCCAAATTTAATTTATTAATTATTAATCGCCTAATGATTTGATATTTATGAAAATAAATACTTTGGTCAATTCTTTATTAATTACTGACACTGATAATGGTAATAATAAGGTTGTAAATTACTTAATTAATGATAATAATAATTTCTTCGATAAAAAATATTTTGGTTTACAATTGTTAAAAGTAGGCAGATAATCATTACTTGTCACTCTTGTCATTATCACTTATCACTATTACTATTTCTACCTTGTCTTCAAACTATTATCATTACTTATCAATGTAATCAATAATTAATGTATAATCAATTTTTTAATTTGTAAAAGTAATCGATATAAGTAAACTAGTTTTTGCTCGTTTCAAACTTTCTTGTCTTCCATTCACCTATGCATCTATTTATGAATGATTCATCATCATCGATAAGGTCGACGAAACTATTTTGATGCGAAACAATTGTTGTCCATAATTTTCTGCTCACCATTTCATGCTGATTTTTGACAATTTGAACTTTTTGTCCTTTCATCCTGTTTACCACTTACCTTTGACCCTTGACTTATCCCTTTCACCTTTCACCTTTCATTAGTTCTTAGTAGCAATAGTAGTATACCTTGAACTACTACTAATGAAAGGAATATTCTTGCTCGCAAAAGTTATTTCGAATCACTTTTCGTATTTTTCTTCTGCAGCTGTCTCTATAAATTTAAAATGATTAATTTCTGAATATTGTGTCCTCTTTTTCTTCTTCATCTCTCACCTTTAACCTTTAAAATATTCGTGCCAAGATTGCAAGAAAAGTATTTAAATTTGTATATTTTAATTTTAATCCATTCATAAAGTTATAAATTTCAATTTAACGCGAAATTTTTATAAATCTTGAATTGCTCTATCATTAATTTTAACTTGACATCAAGTCTTGAAACGGTTTGCTTAAGTCAAGTAAAGTTTCTGACCTCGTGCGAGATGCATCAGACTGTTCAATATTAGCAGCATCTCGAAAGCGTGGCTCGTCCTCAAGAAGAATGAAGCTTTCCGTAGAATATTTCATGGCTGCAATGTTGTTTGTCGTTGCTATTCAGGTGCGCAATACTTTGACCTATTTAGAATTTTACATTTTTATGCCTTTCATAAATTATTTGCTCCACAAATTTCTATACTTCAATAAATCACAACTTCTGATTCGTCTACTTTTCATATACTAATAATACTTTAAGTTTCTAATATTGATTAAATGGGTAGCTCTAGAAAACATCCCTTCTGTTCTAAGCTGAAGTAGGTATTTCTGAATTAGTTTTGACAGATACTATAATTACTGTACAGAAGGAATTTCTTAAAATTATTATCAATAATTTCGTGTAATCATTTACGAGATTTCATTTTTAATTGCATTTGATCGATTTTACGATTGCAAAAATTTTACTTCAACTAACTTTATTTGAATAAAAGTAATCAAAAGCTTTGTACAGAAATTTTACAGGGAACTTATCTTGCATATGTAGTTGGCATACTTACCAACTTAGAACGTCGATTTGGTATATCAAGTAAACAATCTGGAACTTTGTTATCACTTTATGATATAGGTCATACTATTTCGGTAGTTCTCATTGGTTTTCTAGCTAATGACAAGCATTTACCGAGAATCACAGCCTTAGGTAAGTTCTCTTATTTTTTCAAAAATAGAATCCATTAAAAGTAAACGTAATATTAGCCGTCATTTTAAAAATTTATACTTTATTTAAAGATAGTTTTTTAGTCGAAAATTTGCATATTTGAGGTTATAATTGATTATAGGTGTGTTATTTAGCGCAGTTTCAATGTTTATCTTGGCTCTACCAATGGTTTTGTTTGGACCAAAATCATACGATGAAGCTTCACTTTCTCGTCATAAAGTAAGTTTCCTAAATATTAAACTCTATTTTTATAATAAAATCGATATTTGAAAAATATTAAGTTACCCAAATATTGAACTTATTTTTATGATAAATCAATACAATTGAATTTATTTGTATAATAGGATCGATACTTTGTATCAAAATCAGCTGATCACTTCATATTAGCAAATCTCTATAGTTATTAATTCTGTCAATGGGATTAATTTTACCTCAGATTTCCACTTTTTAAACATTTTATTCAGAAATTCTGTACTTTTTCTTCGTTTAGGTAAATAAATATATCTCTAAAACAAAAATCATAAGCATAATGTCCAATTATCAGTACTGATAAAATCTCTAAGGCTGGCAATTTTTTGAATTTTTGTGTTTCAAAAAATAATCTCTTCTAATGTATTTTAATTTCTCTCAAAATAATTTCTATTGTATTTATTCTCATTTCTAAAAACACATCTCCCATGTTTGTTGCAATCAAAAGTAATCAGACTTATTTTTGAAAAGTGATTTATTTTCCAAAACTTATATTTTCTTAAAAGAAATAAATCAAGCGTAATCTCAAATTTATTTCATATCGATGAATAACTTTTATAGATTTAACTATCTTTATAAAAAAATATTGGTTCTTTTTTTTGACTTAATAATTTTTATTGCAGTTGCAGAATTTATATATTCTGGAGAACATCTGTGATCCATCCCGATCACCTGATCAGTTAGAACGAAACTGTATGGATCAAAAAGATGAACATTTTCTTGCATTCTGTATTTTATGTATTGCTCAAGTCTTGGCTGGCATTGCTGCTGCACCATTTAATACTATCGCATATATTTACATCGATAATAATCTGGTAGAAAAAACAAAATCACCATTTTATCTTGGTAATTGATTATTACTACTTTTAAATTAGTCTGATTAAATTCATATTTATGACAATAACTTAAATATTACACAAAATATAAAAAGTTTGATTTAGATAATTCATAGTCATAACTAAAATTAGATGAATATATGCTAATTTAATTCTTTCATTTATGGTAATCATAAAAATTATACAAGTTTAAATATTCAAAACTTTAAGTATACCAAGTAATAATGCATTGAAATTTTGAATAATATTTTTGAGCAAATATCAATTTAGATTAAAATTTGATAATTTCATTTCAGAATAAAACTTAATGATATCTATCAAACTGAAATTTAGATTACAATTTTGAATATACTTATGATAATTTTTCTTTTTAAACTTTTGAACTTTAAACTAGTGAAAAATAGCTAACTTTCACTTTTACGGGGCTATTATCAAGTATGTACGCATTCGCACCATCTTTTGGATTTGCATTAAGCGCAAGTGTTACAAGAATATACACAACAGTTGTTGATGGTACTAATTTTTCAAGATTTTGCATGATCTGAATTAGTTGCAAAGTTTAGCAATTTAAATTTAAATTAGAATTTAAGCAATACTTACTAAGAAAATTCTTTTATTTCTCTTTCCTTAATTATCTAATTAATTAATATTTTGAGAATTTGATAATTTCCAAACTTACCAAAGTTTTTTATAGTACCACCAAATGTAACAATTGAAAGTGAAGAATGGGTAGGAGCATGGTGGCTTGGTTTTATCATCTGTGGTATTTTATATTTAATTGCATCGGTTCCGATATTTTTTTTCCCCAAAAATTTACTTGAACATAATGTAAACTGCTACGAAATGCAACATTTAAGGTTTGATATGCAAATTTTCACTTAATTTTCTTTTAATCCATCAAGAATAATTCAAATAGTTGTTACTATGTAAAACAATTCTTTTTATTTTATCAAAAATATTAAACAAAAAAAGTTTTACTATATATGTAATTTTTTGGCAAAATTGAATGCATGCATTAAGTGAGTTGAATCTTACTTTAATGTATATTATTGTAATTTTTAATTTAGAGATAATAATTCTCATTTTCATTATGAGCATCAAATTGCTATTTCTGAAGACAACTCAAAATCACAACAGACTTTCCTAGAAGAAATAAGAACCGCTGCAAAAAGTAATATTAACTTTATATTTTGCTAAAATAAGTTTTATCGTAAAAATAATACTTAAAAGTAAAGTCTAAGTTGATAGTGTTTACTTCTGTAAACAAAATATGACACTCATTTAGAATTATTATGCAGATTTTTTCAAATACAAACTGCGATATTAGCACTATAATAGTAATTTCAGGGAAATCATTTATTTTTACTAACAATCAATTGATAACCTTTGATAATTTGAAAAATAATTGAAACTTAGTTTAAAAATAAACTGTCATTTATTTAATTTAAATTTTTATTAATTAAAACTATTTTCATAGAATTCCCAGAGTTAATCAAAAATCCAGTCTATACATCAATGGTGATTGGATGGATGTTTGGATCCTACTTATCTGGTGGTTACAGTACTTATTTACCTAAATATATCGAAACACAATTTAGTCGCAGCGCATCTGTTGCTGATATTTATTCAGGTAAATTAGTCATTTAATTTAAATCATAAATACTTAAAATATTCAATTATAAGTTTTCAAAAATTTAAGTTCAAATTAAAACTGTAATGTAGCTGCTTATAGGCATTATATCAATTGGCAGTATAGCAGTTAGTACAGCATTTGGTGGGTATTTATTAACTAAATTCAATCCATCACCTCGAAAAGCATTACTTTTTTTAATTGCTGGATGGTCGATTATTGTTATCACTTATTTAGTTGGAATGTTGGTAGGTTGCAAGGAACCACAGGTCGCTCAACTTCTCACTGATCCGGTTGCTGAGTTAGTTACTATCTGATTAGTCGATCCGATTATTTTTCTTCAAACTGTTATTTTCTGATGATTTTATGTTAAAGTTAGCTAATTTTAAGTTACAAGTTAAACTTGAGCTTATTAAAGTAAACTTTTGATAACTTCATATGCAGCTTAGTTAATTTTTAATGTAGCGTGCTTAATTTTAGACCAAATTTCGCTGATCTTACAAAATGCAGTATTGATTGTCATTGTGAATCAGTCGATCGTTTTAATCCCGTTAATTTCCACATGGTCAATTATTTCTCCCCATGTCATGCTGGTTGTCAAAAGTATAATACTTACTTACAGAAAGTAATAATCACTAAAAAATTTGCTGCCATATAAATTATACAAACTGTTTTGTGTTGTTCTTTTTTGAATTTTTTGCAAGGACTATAAAGATTAATAAATTATAGCAGTAAAGCTTAATTTTCTGTAAAGGCAGGTCTAATCATTTATTGCCAATCTGATTATCTCTAAGACTGTAGTAATTAAGTAAGTTTCAAGATAGAATATGTATCAGTTATGATTGCACTAGGTTTTGTTAGATTCCAGTTTTCGTTCAATTTATTTCATTATTTATAGTTAGTGTAGATGAAAAAGCTTGTAAGTAAAGAATTGATCTAACTTATATTCAAAGTAATATTACTCTCACTTAAAATAAGTGATTATTGTTAGTTGTATGAGTAAATATTACAATACTTTGGAAAATGTTATTATTTGGAACTTTCAAAAGTATAACAAAAACTTTGAAATTTTTAAAAATTATTTTGAGTAATTCATAGTAACTTTTTTATACTTCAATTTTTACAGCAAAAAATTCGATTGCACTTTTGACGCGTGAAATTTAAGTAGATTAATAGTTTGTATTTTCAGTATTCATTTAAGTTTTATTTCAAATTTTTAATCTTTCAATTGTTACTTTTTTAATCTGTACATTGTAGTGGGATTCATGCATTTGTGTAGGCAATGGTGCTGTGGAAAATGGTTTATACGTAGAAGAATGCCACGCCGTATTTATTTATGTGGCAAATATGTTTACGGGTTTATTCTTTGGTAATCTGTTTTTCATGACAACAATGATGGTTGTTTTAAGGTTATTTTTTCAGTTAATTTGTTGATAAAACATCGTTTTGCATAATTTTATCATTAAATTTGCTTAAGTCAAAGGTATTTTTGAAATTATCTGTATTACTTACTGTAATTAATATGATAATTTTAATAACAAAAGTACAATTAACCTCGAAAATCAACCTAAAAGCTGTAGTACTGTAATGAACTTCAGTTTTACAGTTTAGCTGTATTATACTCGATGATTAAAGTATCGAAAATATCAAAGTCAAAAAAGAAAGTATAATCAGATTAACACAAAATTATTATCTAAATTATTGTTTTATTACATTATGATCAAAAGTCTACAATTTGTTAGTACATTATCAAGATTTAGCTTGCCATAGCAGTTACTAAAATAAAGGGGTAAAACGATATCAAATCATAAAGGTCAAAATTTGTAGTGCATACAAAATTTGACCTTTATGACCTTTATGATCTGATTCAAAAAATGTAAACCATTAGTACAAAATTAGCTATGAGTGAGATTTCATTTAAAAACTAGTTTGAAATTTTAAGAAATTTTTATATAACTGCAAAACGATAAATCAAAATGATAAAGTTTTTATTGCTTAATGAAAAAAAAGATTTTATCATTATGATTAGCACTTCAAAAGCGTAATAGAAAACTTTTTACTGGCAGTTTTTATCATCTAAAAATCAAATTATACACTACAAACTATTGCTTAGGTAAATTATTAAATATGGTTTTCAAAGGTAATTTACTAATTAAAAATCTGAATTGTTATCAGAGATAGTCATGATCAAAGCGATCAGAACTTTATTATAAAGTATGTTTTCAGATCATTAACCAAAATTCTGATCTATAGCAATAATTAATCAAGTGATCAATTATATTTTATAGATCAGTGTATGACGATGAAAAAGTTTTGGCACTTAGTTTTGCATCTTGTATTACCAACATTTTTGGTAAGTTTTATACATTGTTTATTCAACCAGTTGATTCATATGAAGACATTAGAAATGTAACTGTAATTAAATTTAGAATTAGATATTAAATAGATTTTGCGATTAAAGTGAATAAAAATTTCTTTGATCTAAACTTAAAATAATGCTTTGTGAGCATTTTGTCAAAATAATCGTGTGAAAACAGTATTTTGAGTAGAAGAGTTCGAAGGTCAGTCGATAAAGCTCCTAGAAATTATTAATTCAATGACATTATTTTAGGTTTTATTCCATCTCCAATAATTTTTGGATGGCTAATTGATGGAGAATGTCAAATTTGGCATAGCAAATGCGCTCAAAATCATGGCAACTGTGCAATTTATAATAACGAAGCATTCCGTTACGGTTTTCACGTGGCGAGCGCTATATTTCAAGTATTAGCCGTGTTTTCAGCTGTGATTTGCTATTATTTAAGCAAAAAATTTACATTTCCAGAAGAAGAAGAAGGAGATATTTGTGATGAACATATCCAGTCAAGGGAAAGTGCTGTACAAACTGCATTATAACATCAAAAATAATTGTTGAGATATAATTTGCTATGCAAAATTTCATTTAATTTGTTAGAATGATTAATAACCTTTTGTATAAACTGTATTTATTCATAACAATTGCAATCAACTTTGGTATTTCTGACAAAAGCTTGTAATAAGCGTAAATTCTTTTATCAAGTACAATCACAAAATATGAAGATAACCTTTGTGATATAAAATATTTATCATATTTAGAATCTGATATCATTCTAAAAGTGATTGTTAAGACCTTATGATATTGATCAAGGTGATTTTTTATTGAATGGCTACTAAAATTATGATATGATGGATAATTCTTATCAGTAGAACAAATTTTGCAAAATTTATTCTACTGATAAGAAATATCCATCATAATTTAGATGCTAGAGAAATCTCATCAGTCTATCACATTTTTAGTAAAAATGCATGTCCATCAGTGGTCAGCATTTTTTTCCATGTTAAAAACTTGTATTATCATTAGTGTTGATCTTATGGTATTATTTTTGATTCTCATGATAACTACTCATTTTTGCAAGTATTTAAATTCTGATATTTAAATTTAAGTTCGACTATGATTTTTAGTCACTTTATTTACTCAGCTTAATCATTCTCGACACTATTTGCTCATGTGTCGAACTTCATAGCTAACTAAAAAATC